TTAAAAGATTTATTCACCAGACATGAAGTATAAAAATTACAATATAAAGATGCATAATCGAATCCTAAATCCTAAATGCTGTCATCAGTTTCTTTGGATGCTTCCTAAATATTTTTGTCTTTTCATACAAATATTTCTGTCTGTTTATTTAGAACTTATTACATGGATACGGAGAAATTTTCTGCTTTTAATTTTTTCTATATTTTTATCTTCAGATTTTTGTTAGCAATCCATTTATCTTTCTTTTTTCTTATCCCTAATTTAAACGCAATTAGTGTCCACGTGAGCGAAATAACCCCATACATAGCAGAAGAAAACCATGGCAACGCACAGATTAGTCTGACCTAACAATTCACAGTATCTGTCATTTATTTCTCCATACCACTAAAATTTCCGGCCTGAAGGCCAACCGTTCAAAGACTTCCATTTCATTTGCTATAATATCGGCAGAGCAACGTATTTAGAAATTTTGACTTTTTTTGAAGGTGTTACTTTTTTATACCTGGTGTTTCTATTTCCTTTAATCACTCGCGCAGGTCGCACTGTTGCAAAAGTGAAAGTCCAACTTTGCTTTTGTGAAATTCTTAAATAAGAGCCATATAATGGTAAAAATATGATAAAAAAAACTACATTACTAAAATTAAACGATCTCGTTGCGGTCATGAAATTTATATTCATGAGGGCCCCAGTCAAATACCGTCGTATATGCGTAAGCCTTGTTATGTATACTTTACGTTTTCTTAATTTACATGAGTAATAAAAGAAGTTAATGGTACATGAAAGTTCTTGTAATAAATTCCTTTTATTATTTAACTTTTATTTTCCTTTTTTCTTAAAAGGTAATTTAGTAAGTTTACATATGCCAAATTTTAACATCAAGATAAAATAAATCATTACTAAAATTACAAGTAATTTAGTAAGTTTACATATGCCAAATTTTAACATCAAGATAAAAATGTAGTATATTATGACAGCATAAATTGTGTTACTATTCCTATGAACTTAGAATGCGTATTTTTAAATCTATTATATTTTTCAATCTAAGACCTATAGATTTGTCCTGAAATTTCAGGAAACACACTCGCTATTAAATGTGTTATAGGTATTTCTTCCGCTTTCCTAGCATGCCTTCGTGGTGTAGTGGTCTGCACGCTGGGCTGGTATTCCAGAGGTCGGCGGTTCGATTCCCGGCGACGGCGGTTGCCAATTTTTCATCTCTCCGGCTTTTCTAATTAACCTAATGTCACTACAGTGGTGCCCAAACTAAAGGGGTGTTTGGATGATGATTCTCCTCACCCAGGATTTGGCGATTGGGTCCTCTAAAAACCCCAGTTGCCCTTTAAAAAGGGAGTATAAGGTATTTCTTTTAGTGGTGTGAGGGAGACCTGGTGGCCCCCCCCCCCCCCCCCCCCCCCCCCCCCCCCCCCCGGCCCCCCCCCCCCCCCCCCCCCCTCCCGTTCTCTTCCCCCCCCCCCCCCCCCCCCCCCCCCCCCCCCCCCCCCCCACCCCCGTCCTCCAGCTTGTACTCATTTTTAACGCTGGGCCGGTATTCCAGAGGTCCGTGGTTCAATTTCCAGCGAAGGCATTTGCTCATTTTTCATCTATTCGGCTTCCAAAATTAACATAATGTCTCTACAGTGTTATTAACTTTCTACTGAGCTCAACATTGAAATGGTTATCTTTCAGAAATTATTCGTATTTCTTATCCTCTTTCTATGTTGCTGTGCCAGTTTCCCTCTTTCTGGTGCACATTGAAAAGAGTTGAGTAACTATTATTTTAGTTAATTACTACTTATGTATACTTAATTCACCTGTACCGATAAGACTGAAATATGTTAAATTTACTTAAGTGTCTGTACAGCCACTTCATAAACCAGTGAGTTTAGTATTAGATGTAAGGTGTAGAAAAATTTGTTTCAATATGAAGTATTTTATATTCTGCAAACAGAGCTCAAACTCGTAAAAATATCAACATGAAAGTCCTGGTTTTTGAAACTTTTGTATGAAGGGAATGTAATGCACAGTAGAAGTTGTACAAGAGCCATTGTTTCGACATTTTTCGCATTATGTCAAAGATAAAATTATTCACCATTCTTCGGAAAGGTACTGCTGGTTGCCACAAAATACATATCATTAGGTACTTTTTTTTTAAAGTGTGCCATAAATATAGCTTTAGATTATTTCAGTTTCATTCTATAAATTTCTTAGTTTAACTAGGTAAATATGTATATAAAATTGTCATAAACCATTTATCCAGGATGAAATGCATGTTATTTGATATATAATGAATTAAGAGTTTTTCCACGAATTTTAACTACCCTTACATCAGAAAACATTATCCTGCACAGATTTAGTTCTAAGTTTCAGATTTGATAGAAAAAAATTATGTATTTACTTACAACTAATAAATTACAGAGAACTATTCTACTGGTATATCAAATACATGTAGATATTATTAACAAAATGTATTTTATGTGTTGGCGACATAGCGTTTTTAATTCTTCTAAGTTTTCATATACTAACAACACATTTTACATTACAATAAACATTTTACATCTCTCCTGTTGAAACGATATTTTGAGGTATTCTGGAACTCAAAAACTACTACAGCTTTGATTTTTCAAGAAGAATGAGAGTTGCTTTATGCAATTAACTTAAGTAACACGAACTACTTCAATATGTTATTAAATCTGTAGAGTGATTAGGTTATTTTGAAGCAAGAGTACATGAAAAAAGAGCAATACCCTCGCCGGGACTCGAATCCTGGACCTCTCGAATACGCGCCGAGTGTGCTAACTGTTACACCACGAATGCATGCACAATGGAGGGAGAAAATACCTTATATACACCCACTTTTAAAGGGAGACGGAGATTAAGGGACCGAATCGCCAAATAACTTGTGATCCATCTCAAACAGTGCTGCTATTGTAGTGTTTTGGAAGAGCAAAAATTTCTAATATCTGTTATGAGAAGCGAGAAGATGTATAAACATAAGAAAAACAAATAAAGGTGGCGAATTCATAAAACTGAATCAATCTTTGATTTCATATTTTGATTTTCAAAATAACCTACCTACTCCAAGCGGAGCAATTTCATCATTTTAATGTAAGTCCGAATTGTCCACTTTTAACTTCACAATTTGTGATTTGGGAAAAATGGCCTTAATTATGTCTAGAGCTAACAATAAATAAATGCAATGGAGGGAAAAGTGCGATTAAAATTGAGGAAAGCTTCGTAAAGGTTTTGGAAGAAAAAACAGCTGCATGTAAAAGAACTAATTTAGAAGCGGCTGTATTCAGACAAGTCTGCGATAATCAATTACTAAATGAAATTATTAAATTTATTAATGCCTTTTACTTGTATTCTGTGACAAATTTACAAATAATAAGCATAACACATAAACTTCTTATTGTCGGTCACGTGCAAAATGAAGGGGATTGTGCTTATCCTGTAATTGTAAAAAAATGCGAAACAGTCATTGAAATATGTCTCTTTATTTGAAAACGGTAAAGAAGCAAGGCAAGTACTTCAAACTTTTGGAAATGCGACAGGGAGCTTTTAATGACGTAATTTTATTTTAAATCTAGTACTAAACTGTACTCTTCAAAGAACTTTTATATACTGAAAATAAAATAAAAAACAATCATTGAATTATTTCTCCTATAAGACTCCTATAAGATATATAATTATTTCTCCTATAATTCTCTCATTGAATTATTTTTCCTATATATCCCTCCTTCCACCATGTCTTCGTGGTGTAACGGTAGCACACTAAAGCGAGTATTCGAGAGGTTTTTTTCAGGTTCGAGGCCAGGCCAAGGCATTCAGCATTTTCCACATCTCTTGCTTCAAAATAATCTAATGACTCTAAATATAAAAAAATATATTTTAAAACTGTCAAAGTGAAATACCTCTTACGCAAGAAAATTTGCAGTCCTTCCAGTAAGCAACTTTGAAAAAAGCTTACAACAAACCACTTGCAGTTTCTAAGGACAACGAAGTTTAATCACCAGCAATCAGTATCAAGCTGTTATTCTATATTTTACAGCAATCTAAAAGCTTACTCATAACATACGTTCAGTTTTGAAGTTTAATATATAAAAATTATAAAAATATAAGCCATTTTGGGGAAACTGTTAATTTTTTTATCTTTTAATAATATAAAATTGAAGCGTTAAGAAGTCATCTTATACTTTTGTAATCCATGTAGCAATATGTTAAGGAGGAGGCAGAAAGAGAGGCATCTGAGGAGGGCATTTGGGGAAACTGCACCTGCTGCTGTATCCTTAGGAGAAGAGTAGATTACAGGGCGTTTGTGTTGTTTTGAATGAAAAGTTGTCTTGGGCTTTCTGGCCTTCAAATGATTAAACTCTGTCTCTAGTATTGGAGCTAATCTTCTGGATGTGAAAAATATCTTAATTTCCATCAATCAGTTTTTCTTCCAATACATAGTAGGTAAATTTTACTAATAAACAAAAATGACAATGTAAGGAAATTATAATATATTCATCAATCAAGATTTCTTACTAATCTAGATTGCTTTAACACAATTAATAAAAAGAAGCAAATTTTATTACTTTATTAAGACTTCTGTTTCTTCGCTTAAAGTGCATTCTATATGAAATTACATAAATTAAAGAAAAATTAGGAAATATTTTTAAAAATATTTAAATAATTTTATAAAGTACCGAAATGATGTTAATAGTAATTTGGGGGTATCTGAGGCTAAAACTTCTTAAAAGTTCGCTTAGAAACAATAAAGCAATAAAAACCGTCTTCTTTTTTACAAAAGTAATTTTGTAAAAAAGTAAAGTAAAGGTTTTATTTACATACATCGTAATTATTTTTGAATGATATTATCTATATCTTTGAGCAACAATATTTCAACTCTTACTGTCTTTCTTACAGTAAGAGAACTGTAAGGCATTTTAAAATTTAATAGTAAATGTGTAAAATGTGTTTGTTGTTGAAGATTAAAATTCATACAAGACTCACTAAAATTGAAAAACTTTAATATGTTTATTCGGTTCAGTGCTTAGAAGAGTAAGACATGATTAACGAGGAGGTTGATTTTATTACCGTTGTATCAAAATTACACCAGTTATATATCTTTCACTAAACGTAATTCATGTATGTATATATAGATATATATATATATGATATTTATTCATTTGTTTATTTGAGTATTGAAACTTTTTACAAACACGTATGTTGTACGTCGTACAAAACAGTCTAGTGAAGCTATGACTTATACAATAACAGACAGCAGGAGGCCAGAAGAGCCACTGTCCACCTAACGGCAGGGTTCTGAGACGCTGAGTCCCGCACTGAAAAAGAAAAAAGAAACTCCTTTAATTCCTGCATGTTAAAATATATAAAGGTAAATATATATTTATAACAAACAACATTAAAATATCACTTTGCTACATAACTTTGTTATATTATATATATCAATATAAGTATGTAATATATATATATAATATATATAATATTAGATATTATCTAATTATATATATATATTATACAGGGGTTGGACAAAAATATGGAAACCTTAAAAACATGTTTCTTTGCTTAATATGGTGTAGAAACCCGTTGGCATTCAAAACAGCTTGCAGTCTTCTCGGATGGATAAATCAGTTCCTGTATGGTTGCCAAGGGAATATTATACCATCTTATTGCAACGGTGGCAAGTTCAGATAACGATTTGGCGGTGGATAACGAGAACGCACTTTCCCGTCCCAATGTAGACCACAAAGGTTCGATAATGTTCAGTCTGGTACTGTGTGGCCAGGGAGATGGACAACTCATCCTCGTGCTCAAAAACCAGTCCTGGCAATGTGAGCTGTGTGAACAGGGCTTGTCGTCTTGGAAGACACCGTCACCATCGGGAACGAAGTTTTGTACCATGGGATGAACTTGATCGGCCAAAAGTTCACATAAGTCTTGGCAGTCATTCCCTGACACAGTTATCATGGGGCTAGCAGAGAACCATGATGGCTGCCCAAACCATAACAGAACCCCCGCCATGTTTCACTCTTGGCAACAAGCAGTCTGTATTATAGGCTTGAGATGCGTTCTCCAGATGTAAAACTCGGCCAGAAGTGGGAAACAATGTGAAAGAAGACCGTCAGACCATATTACTCGCTTCCACTGCTCTATAGTCCAGGCTTTATGACTTAAACACACCTTTTTTCTGTTACGGGGCATAGCATCACTGATGAGTGGCTTCTCAATTGCAGCACGGCCAGCAATTCACTTTTTTATGAAGCTCCCTTCTAATGTTTTTGGTACTCACAGGGTTCGGTAACACACATTCATTTCAGCAGTAACTTTTGAAGCTGTGGTCTTCTTATTTTTCGTCACAATTGCCCTTAATTATCGTCTGTCACGATCACTCAGGACACACTTTCGTCCGCGCTGTGATTTAGCAGATGATGTTTTTCCGCTTTTCAAATATGCGGAATAAATCTTCGATACAGTACCTTTTGAAACACTAAACACCTCGGCTACTTGGTTACGGAAGCACCTACCATACGTGCTCCAACAATTTGCCCACGTTCGAAGTCTGTTAACTGTGACATAATGCAATGACAACCTCATATAACAGTACTCCGACAACAACTGAACTGTTTAGCACATTTGCGAAGTTGTATAGGTGGCGTCAGTAGTCAAAAACGCCAGCGCCACCTACATATTTGATTAAAATCAATCTTTCTTTTCAAACATGCATTTCACAAGGTGTTTCCATATTTTTGTCCATTCACTGTATATTTTTGGTATATATTTGGTAATTTTTGGTATATATATATATATATATATACTTGAGCCCAAGAAACGCCGCGAAGTTGACATTTTACGCTTGGCGAATTTTAAAGTAGATAGTTTCGCCTGTTGAGAAAATATTTCATTCTTGAAATTTTCTATGTCGTTTCTCTTTAGACTGCTTATTTGTTTTATGCAATAAATTCATTACTCAAATTTATTATCAAAAAGAGTGAGTGCCTTTATTTTCCCCTTGAGCAGAGCAGTTCCTCATCCCGAATTCATTCGTCAACATTTAATGAATGGTGGTGCAGTTAAAATTCAACTTTGCTTCGATCATTTTGCCTGTCAAACTAGGATCAGGGTGAATAAGATCCCAGATTCTGGTAATGGTTTCGTCAGTTCTTGCAACTGCAAACTTTCCCTTCAAGTTCAGCTTCAGTCGGTTTAAACGACCTGAAAACCTGGAACCTTGGCAAAGAAATATTTGCGTATGTCTGCTGAAGCTTTGCCAAAATTTTCGGTCCTCAGTGTTCAAGTCTGAAGCAAAATCTCAGAAGACAGCAGTGCTTGAAATTGATGTCACGCAATTTTCAGTACACACTAGAAAAAAAACACTTTATATACCTGAATGAGTCCAAGTTACAGATGTTACAGATTTTAAGAAATAACAGTTCTTTTTATTTTTATTTTATGCTTTTTGGATCAAATTTATATTTTTAATTATTTTACTTTGTGTTTGATTGCTTCTGTTTAGATCTTCTGTTTTGAACTCGATTCGCTTAAACAGAAAACAATTTTGTTAGATTTTTAAGGTATTTTTTGTTTGTTTATGATTTTAATGCCAAAACGAATTTTTATTCCAGCCTGTATAGACTCAAGTTTTCATATGTTAATTTTTTTATATATTTAGTTCATATACTGAATTGCTTGTATTTACACAGTCAGTTTTTTGGGCTTGGTCTTCTAAAAATAAAATTTAAAAAAATTAAAAGCTGTTAAGTTTGTTTATGATTTTCGTGCTATGAGTTTGCAATTTTACAGGTATACACATGCGTTTAGTCCTTCTTGACTATTTGAGAGAGCTAAATAAAATCTATAAAGCAATAGTAAAAAATATGCACAAAATATTTTAACATATATATAATCATCAAAAGCATATATAGCAATAAGCAAAAGAAATACCATACAATACAATTCATAAAATAAGCAAAAGGAAAGTTCAAAACTAAAAAACCAATCATAGGCGATATTTATAAATAGCTGTAATAACCATTGGCGCTATTTATAAGAAAATTTAAGTTCAGTGCATGTTCAACTTGAAATAAAGACATGGTAATAATTAAATGAAATATTCTGCAAAAGCGCTAAACCATTTTAATACAATAAAAAAAACCAAATCCATTTTTAAAATTGAAACACATACAAAAAGTCAAATTAATTAAATGCAATAAAAGAATAATTTATATTTCCAAGTGCATCTTCATCAGGGACTTTGCGTATCAGAAGAGCCCACCAGCGGCCGAGCGGTAAAGTCGCTGAACACTGGTAGTTCGGTCCGAGGTTCGAATCCCGCGAACGGGCTGGCTGCATGGGCGTTTTCGTGGTTTTCCCCATGTGTAACGTGTATACGAGCCAGTTTCCCTTAGAAAGTCCTCCACGAAAGGCATCCCTCCCTTTAGGCAGATAGCCCTCGAGGCTTTGCCATAATCACATACACACACACACGCTTATCAGAAGAAGTAAATGAATCTGCTTATTTCTGAACTAATAATGACACAAAATTACTAAATTTTAAACTTCATTTAGCCTCAAACCAAGTTGGGTCTTCAATCCAACCTCTACAGTATGGAATTTGAAAGTACCTCTCCCAAATTCATAAAAAGCTCAATCCTTCACGATGTAAATTTATACACAAAGTACCAGATCCATCAGTTTTATTTAAAAAATACGAGACAAATCAGGTCAACCAAAACTATTCATTAAACAAAGTACTAAAAATTAAAAAATAATAATAAAATCTGTAATGTGTAGTTCTCAAGTGATTCGCCCTAAAAGTATTTACAGATCCGAAATCAAAATAAATAATAAAATCAATAACTGTGTCAAAAATTAATGATTCGGATAAACTGAAATCAAAGCTTTCTAGAAAATTATAGTAAGCATTATTAATCATCAAAAGGAAAGAATTAAAAATCTCTGTATTGATAATTAAGGGATTTGAAAAGAATTTAGATTGTTAATTAAAATAGTAAGAAAGTAAAATCCCACATAAATTTACTGAAGAGTCATTTGCTAAATAGTGATTGTCAAGATAATTTGCTCATATAAACTGCTGTGTGTTATGATATTATTACCTAAACCAGCGTTTCTTAAACTGCGATTCGCGAACCCAATTAGGATCGTAGATCCAAAGGATGGGGTCCCGAAAACTTAATTCAGATACATGAAATTAAAGAAATATCATTAATTATCCCTTTAAGGAATTATATTAATTGAAATTAATGAAATGTGTGTGTGTATGTGTGTGATTATGGCAAAGCCTCGAGGGCTATCTGCCTAAGAGGAGGGATGCCTTCGTGGAGGACTTTCTAAGGGAAACTGGCTCGTATACACGTTACACATGGGGAAAACCACGAAAACGCCCATGCAGCCAGCCCGTTCGTGAGGGATTCGAACCTCGAACCGAACTACCAGTGTTCAGCGACTTTACCGCTCGGCCGCTGGTGGGCCGAAATTAATGAAATGAGTCATCTGACATGTAAAGCACAAAAGTTGTTGAATTATTGAATGACTGAAACCCAAAACGTGAATTTCCAAAAATTTGTTGACTGAATTCTGAATCGGAGCTTGAACTGAACTTTCCCACAATTTCTGAAATTACTTTAGTCTTGTGTCGTTCAGCACCACATACTTATGCGAAATGACTTATTCAACGTTAACGCTCATTAAATCCAAATATCGTTCAACGCTTAAAAATGCTGAAGATGCTTTCCGTCTGGAAGCTTCAAATATTGCCCCAGGAATTAATTTGTTATGCAGTAAAAAACAAGGCCTTCCGTCTCATTAAAAGGCGAGTTTCTTTCATTAATTTTTCTATACTTAAAAGAAATCCTAAAACTAATAATTTTTATGAATGTATTGTTTACCAACGAAATAAATTATTTATGGGAAAATATTAATTTTCATATCTTTATTCTACATTTAATATTTAGAGTCGATAAAAAAACGCTTTGATAAAAAGGGGCCCTGAATGAAAAATGCTTAAGAAACGCTGTCCTAAACACTTACAAGATTGAATGTATTTAAGACAGCTGAATTTAACATTCTTTTCAAATGTCTTACAATTTTGGATAGGTTGTTTAATAACCATTTTCTTAAGGTATCCGACCTCGTTCGGATACCATTTTTTAAGAAATGGTTTTTATTTTAACTATAAACGTATTAATTTGAAGATAAGCATACTAATGAGTGAAAACAGCTTAAAAAGTAATGCTAAGTTATTTTAATTTTGAAAAATAATGAAAAAAAGGATAATTTTTGCTTAAATTTTGTCATTACGGCA